GTGGCGATGCCTGCGGATGAGGGTCAAAGGGGGACCGGATTGCGTAATTTGCGAGCGGCCAGAAGACGTCGAAGTGCTACGCCAGCTGGTCCGAGGCCCTGGGCATTGTGTACCGCGGCCAACGCCTGGCCGGCATCACAAGCGAGGTCTTCATGCACTTGCTCAGGGCGCAGAGGGTCGCCTTGAGCTCCAGCCGCAAGGAAGCCATCCTGGCCTCCCAGGAAGGGTTGTGCAAGGAGTGCGGAACGCCGATAACCCTAGGCCTGTGCGAGTTCGATCACTTGGTGCCGGTGAACATGGCTTTCCGGGGGCAGGCTCAGGAGATGCAAGCGCTCTGCGTCGAGTGCCACCGAACCAAGACGGCACTGGAGTGCTCCCACGCCACCACGCTGGAGAGCAGGGTTTGTCGATCAGTGCACAGCAGCTACGTGGCGTCCGACAGACTGCCACCGCTTGTCTGTGAGCTGCAGAAAAGCAATCCCGAGAGGCTCTTCTATGGGGTAGACGTGGTGCGGTGTCGCAAGAACGGCTTGGCGAACGCCAGGTTTCCATTGCCTGTCTTTTGCCCTCTTGACGGCTTGGAGCCTGCAGTGGAGGGGCGTTTGGCGGATTTGACCTTTGTGGAGCTCAGAAAGGACGATCGGGTGGCCTTGCTGGCCAAGCTGCCTTACGTGGGCCCGGGTTGGTACGCAAAGCCTGCCGCAGCCTATATGCTGGAGTCGGGTCTTGCCACTTGGCAGGATTTCAAGTGGAGTCTGGAGGCCACCGCCCACGTCGACCAGGAAGCTCTGGCAGCCGCCCTCAATGATATGGAGCGGGCCTGGCCCGAGGGAGAAGAGCACTATGCCAAGCTATCCATTAACGCCCTGATCGGGTTGTGGGCCAGAAACCAAGACCGCGTCTATTCGATGCGAACCAGTAACCACTCCCTGGACGGCAATGGCAGCCAGTACCAGCAAACCTTCGTGGACGCCAGGGGCAACTGCCACTGGGACCACATCTACGTGACGGATTTGTACAGCAACGCGACTTTGCGGCCTGCCCATGACTTCGTGATGGCTGCCGAGTACGTGGCGGTGGCCAGAATCAGGCAAGCCCTTGCCGGCGTGCCTGTCCGGTACTTGAAAGCCATCAAAACGGATTGCCTGCTGTTCCAGGACCTGCCAAAGAAATACTGGCCCGATGTTCAGAAGCTCACGCAGTGGGAGCACCCCGACGGCACTAGGGTGTATCGATGCGAGGAGGTCTCCGGCTTACAGGGGTTTTTTCAAGAGCCAAGCATTCACGCGTCCGCCCCTAGTGAGCTGCACGAATGGCAAACTGTGGAGGATCCGGTGGCCCATTGTCTCTCGGGAAAGAGCCTGTTATTATCGGGCATGCCGGGCACCGGCAAGACGCACCTGGCCAGGCAGATCGTCTCGGCGTTAAGGGAGCTCGGCGACACAGTGCAGCTGGTAAGCAAGACCCACAGCTCAGTGCAGAACATCGGGCTGGGAGCCCAGACGGCCGATCACTGGGTGCGGCGCACCATTCGCAACGGCCACTGCAGACTGGATTGGCTGGTGGTGGAAGAGATTACCCAGCTGGATGCTGGGCTGTGGGCGGACATAGCCTGCCTCTCCATGAACCGCAGCATCAGGTTTCTTTTGTTGGGAGACTTTAGGCAGCTGCCGGCGATTCTGGATGCTTTTGCCGGAGCCAGAGTTTCCAAAGAGCTCCGAGACAGCCAGCTGCTGCACGACCTCGCCGGGGGGTTTGTTCACGAACTGCTGCTGAACAGGAGGAGCGATGAACGCATCTTCAGGTTCTTGAGCTGGCTCCATGTCGACGAAGCCGAGGAGGTGCCGCTGGCGCAAGCCATCAAGGTGGCCAGGGAGCAATTCCCGCGCCTAGGCGAGCCCGATGTGTGCCTGGTGATTTCGCACGCCCACCGCATCCAAATTAACGAGAGGGAAAACAGGCGCCTGGCTCCGGCAGAGGCCGTGAAGATCGAGTACAAAGCCGCCGAAAAGACGCCCACCAACGCCCCACAGACCATGAGGGTGTGGCCTGGGCTCAAGCTCGTCGGGGCGGGGGGCAAGATAGCCCGCAACTTGGTGGTGCGGGTCACCGCGGTCGATGGGACGAAGGTCACGCTGGACGGCGGCCAATGCTTGAGCCACGCCGAGTTGTTGCGACACACCAGACTCTGCCATGCTATCACCTATGCCAGTTGTCAAGGTTTGACCCTGCGCGGGAGGGTCTGGCTCTGCGACGTGGGCAGCCCGCACTTCACCCTGAAGCACCTGTATGTCGGCGCCAGCCGAGCCACCAGCAGCCACTTGTTGAGTGTGTTGTAGTAGTAAAAGGAGGTTGGCGTTCTGATACGCAAGTCCCTGTAGCGATGGATCTGGAGATGGTTTTGACTCTCGTGGCGCTCAACGCCCTCCCGCCCCTGCAGCACACGCAGAATCGCAGGGTAATGGCCGTTGTCGACCTGGGGCTCCGCAATCTGGCAAGGCTTCGGGCCTGCAACTCGAACCTTCGTGGAAACACAGAGGAGCGTTTCCAGAGCACGCTGAAGCACGCGCGCGAACAGGATGAGGAGTTTTACCGCAAGGCAGAGGCTGAAATTGGACACAGCCTGCGGCGCCATGCCGAGGGCAACAGGCGGCTCAACCGATGCTCCGCCGATATCGCGCTCCAAGATGCTCGAATGTGTGCGCAAACCCACGAGTAACTCAAGCGTGAGATCCCGAACTTGCTCGGGAACCAAGGTCGGAAATCCCGAACTTGCGCTAGAACCAAGGTCGGAAATTCCGAACTTGCTCTGGAGTCAAAGTCGGAAATTCCGAACTTGCTCTGGAGCCAACGGCGGCGTGGAGAAAAAAACAAAAAAAGAAAAAATGTTTAGGATTTCTGTGGCAAGTGCTAGGGCACCCACTGGCTTTCTGTGTTTTTTCTTAAGTGCCGTGGCGCTTGCGAGAGGGCAGATTTAGGGTGAGATAGTGATCTTCCCTGTCGCAAATGCCCCCATCTTTGTATTGCCACTCCTCACCCATGCCGTCCTGCACCTCGCCGTTGGTCAGCGATACGTTGTGCCGACCTGCCGCCCAACCCTTGAAGGTCGCGATGATCACAGCAGCCGGTGCAATAGAGTCGCCGTCGTAGTCGCGCCCGCACATTTCCCCCATGAAAGCGTACCACAGGTCCACGGGGTGCATCTCGGGTGCGATGGGGCTATCGCGTAGCAGTGTGAGCGGCATGATTTGCGCCAGGAGAGTATTGTGAACGTGCAAGAGAAAGTTCGCCGAGTCCGTCGCGCACCCAGTCCCCGTCATTTCCGTCATTTCCGTCATATTTGTCATATTTGTCATTTTTGTCACCCTGAATGGCCCGTCACCCCCGTCATTTCCGTCATTTCCGTCACCCCGAATGGCCCGTCACCCCCGTCATTTCCGTCATTTCCGTCATTTCTGTCATTTCCGTCATTTCCGTCGCTGCTTGATTTACACAGGATATGCGCGTGACAAAACTGACAAGAATGACGGGTCGATTGTTTTCGGCAGGGTCTCCATTGCGGGGGCGTCCAGGCATCGACACGTGCTACACAGAGTGCGCGCATGACAAAAATGACAAAAATGACAGAAATGACAAGAATGACGGGTCGATTTTTTTTTTCGGCAGAGTCTCCATTGCGTGGGCATCCAGGCATCGACACGTGCTACACAGAGTGCGCGCATGACAAAAATGACAAACATGACAAGAATGACGGGCCGATTTTTTTTTCGGCAGAGTCTCCATTGCGTGGGCATCCAGGCATCGACACGTGCTTACACAGAGTGCGCGCATGACAAAAATGACAAAAATGGCGAATGACGGGTCGATTTTTTTCGGCAGAAATTCCTTTAGGGCCTGGTAGCGTTTATGTATAAGGGCATGAGCACGCTTTTTACATAGGACATAGGCGCGGTTTTGCAGGTATTATTTGTTTTTGTAATGTTGGCTTGCTTGATATTCCTTCTTGATTTTTGCTTGAATTGCTTGATTTTACTTGATTTTCATGTTTTTGTGACCCGCGCCGCGCCTTACCTTCTCCAAGGGACATGTAAGTGCGGAAGACACAGCAGGACTGGAACACACAGCAGATATGGCAGACACAGCAGTCGCAGCAGACACAGCAGGCCAACAGGCAAACGTTACATAGGGGGGGGGGCGACGCCCGGGGATCCTCATTCGTCGAGGGCTTGGCTTTTTGGGGTGTGAGCTTTGGGTGTCCTGTGCTTTAACGCAAGGGTTTTGGGGGCTGTTCGCTTCGTGGGGGCGTTGGTGGGGTGCAGCTTGCAGTGCTTTGCGGTCCGCCGTTTGCGTAGGCTAGAGTCTCGAAGGACCCTGCACCCCTTCGCCCCTTGTGCCCAGGTATTCGCACCATCTTCCACTTCGACGACGCTGCCAGAGCCCAGGGCTCTGAGTGCTGCAAGAGGAGTTGATTGTTTTTGGTTTTTTGGCGTGGGTTAGGACGCTTAGGCTGTCATAGGACCTCGGTGCTTGCAGTAGTGCCTTGGGAAGGGTTTGAGGCTTAGGGTTTAAGGGTCTTCATGAAGCCACTTGCCTCACGTTTCAGACCGATTACACGCCTAGGAATGTGTGTGCTCAGAGTGCTTGCGGTAGGCTAGGAGGGTTTTGGGGTTTTGTCGCCCAGGTCCGATATACCTCTCAAGCTCCTGCGCCTGCAGCGACCTCTGAGTGTTCTGCAGTTGGAGTGTTCTGCGGCAGGATTACGTGCAACTGTGGTGCATTTTGGTTGTCAATCCTGCCCCTTCAGATATGTTGAGATGAGTCGTCAGTGCAAAGTTGGCTGAGCGCATTGCAAGCGGCTCCTATCGCAACATCTTTGAGTTCATCTCTCGCAGACATTATCTTCGAGCACTTTCATTCATTGCCAGGCACATGGCTAGCAAACAGGTCATGAGTCACATGCTCCTCTCAAACTTAGGCAAGCTTGACAGGTGTTGTGAGCAATGCCACGGCGCCGTCTGCCATGGTGGTGCCCCGTTGTGTTTGTTGTCCGACGGCTTTCCTGCGCAGCCCCGTCAGCGTTTGCAGCTGACAAGGTGGGGTTGCGAACACGGGTGTCCGCGAAGAGAACATGTTCGGGCGCCCAGAGAGATCGAGCGCCCGAATGGGCGTCCAAGTTGCCCCATGCGCGCACATCACCTCGGTTGCTTGAAACCCTTGCGACAGCCGTCCCTGCGCTGCAGCTGGGTGGCCCGGATGGCCCGCTGTCTGAAGCCGTCAAGGTGCTTGCAGAAGGCCACACAGTGCTGCGAGATTCCAAGGCAGAGCGGAATGCAGCACTTCTGGTGCTGTTAGCCAGCAGCGGCAAGGGCAAAACGCGCTTTTTGTACGAGCTGAACGAGCGACTTCAGCAGGAGAAGCGCGCAATGTGCATCCCGATCACCTTCAACGGATTGCAAACCTTGGAGAGCGACGCTCAGACAGTGCACGGATTGACCAAAGAGCCCGAGGAAAAAGCTATCGTGCATGTGGCGCTGCGACTGCTGCAGGCAACTTTTGAGATCAATGACTTGCAAGTGTTTGCAGAGTCTTTTTGCGAGAGCCTCGGGGCCGCCAGTGTGCCTCTGACCGTGTCGCTGCTGCGTAAAGTGGTGGCAGTGTGCGCAGAAACACGTGAGGACATCAAGAATGTGACCATCCTCGTGGACGAAAGCGGCCGCTTGCCAAAGCTGTTGAACATGTCCAGCGGAGATGGAGATGAGTTCTCGGCCCTGCGATCTTTGTGCAGGCCCGGGATCGTCGACACGCTCGGTTTTTCTGTGATGCTGATGCAAGCCGGCCTCGGCGACTTTGCCGAGCAGACCGTCAGCCAAAGAGATGTGAAGGTCATTGTGCTATTGGAGCAGGAAGTTGAGGACGCCCTGCAGAACTGGGTGCTCTACGAGGCGGAGTCCCGAGAAAGTGTCCAGCGCTGGGCGGACAAGATTGCAGAGCTTTGCAGTGGCAGTCTGAAGACAAAGGCCAACACAGAACTCTTCAAGAAGCTGGTGCTGAGGCCTCTCGTAGTGGAGTACGTGCCCCTGGCTCGTGGCTTGGAATACCTGACTGAGGCTGTGAAGCAGTTTGACGTCTCGGACGCAGGGCCCATCACTACCAATCCAGAGTTGGGTTCGAGAATGCGTCAAGTTGGCCTCGAGCTTCGAGACTTGGTGGATGGAAATCTCAACGTGAGGTACAGCATCGTGGCACAGCGCCTGACACCCGCAGTCCTGGCTCCAGCCATCCTTCCTTCTCATCGCTTGCTGGTGAGTCTCGACCATGAGATTGGCGGCCACCGTGTCTCAAAGCTCCTGTCAGAGGCTGCGTACTCTAACACGCTTGAGGAGCTTCGGCCTGATGCCGTGTTTCTCCCCGAGATCGTGCCGGCCTTCTTGCGCCAAGCGGCTCAGAAGCAGCCTGACCTGCATTATCTTCAGGCCTGGTGGACGGAGTTGGAAGAAGTGCTGAAGGCGCAGGCTAGCGGCACCGCAGACGCCGGGAACTTGCTGGATGTGGGCGTCCGGCTCTGGACCTACACCATTCTGCTGGCGCTGTCTGAAAACCAGCCAACACTTAAAGTCACACTGGCCGACATCTTCCCAGATTGCGTGACGCATCGTGGATTGGAGGCAGCGGACTACAAGATGCAAGTTCCTAATGCTGTGACTTTGAAGGCGTTACAGGAGCCTCTCAATGCATCCACGAACATCTTGCAGTTCGCTGTGGAGCAGGCTCGAGAGGGTGCGGCTACAGTGCTAGGCATGGCTGATGGACAGGCTGGCGTGGACTCTGTTGTGGTGTTGCCCTTGCCACGAAGGAAGGTGCTCCTGCTTGGCTTGGAGCCGCACGGCGGCGGCAACAGAGGTGTACCAGATAAGCGCCATGAAGGGCATCCTCAAGACAAGCGATCAGTGTTTTGGCAGGGCCTTCCATCCGAAATTCAGGGAGAGAAAGATGTTCGGTTTGCTCTGCTTTACATCACTCATGACGATCTTGTTGACAAGACAAGCGTGCTGGAGAAGAAGCGGAACTCCACAGTCCTGCGCGACTGTAACAGTTCCAGTGATGTGGTGAACCTTCTGCTGATGGACCGGTCTGGCCTGCAATCCTTCTTTGGCCCTTTGTGGCCTTTGTATGCTCAAGCGCGCTGCATAGCACGCTGAGAGCCAATTCCGTCGAGGTGCCAGAATCTCTGGTTCCATGTGGTTCGCTTTGCCTGCTTCGCAGCTCGTTGTACACTACAGAGAGGCCTCTTCCGAACATGGGGGGTTGGACAAACTCTTCAGCCTGCCTTTCCTGCACTACTACAGTCGATGACGTGTCGAAAAGAAGCCACTGCGACTCAGGGACTTGAGCCTTGACTCTGTGCGCCCCCAGCCTCGCCTTGCAGACTTCGTCAGGTCCTTTCGTCGACACGCTCGTGGACCTGGAGGAAGCCGAGAGCAGCGAGCCGAGGGGAATGTGCAAAGCAAAGTCCGGCTCAGAGGCCACTGATGTTCTAAAGTTGCAGGTGCAAGAAAAAGGCCACTTGTTATTTCAGTCGTTTCTGTCATTTCTGTCATTCTTGTCACTCTTGTCATTTCTGCCCTCCTGCACGTCAAATGTTGGTTCCATCTTGCGCGGCGTCAAGCGGCAAATGCTCTGGCGTGCGCTTCAGAGACCTCCCCGCCCAGCCCGGAGATGACAGGGATGACTTCGGAATGACAGGAAGTTGACAGGAAAGGACAGAGGCATATCACTTTTTCTGCAAGATCTTTTGGGTGCCCGTGAAGGTCCGTACTCCCCTCATCAAATGTCAATTCCATCTTGCTGATCGATGCTCGCCGCTGATGCTCGTGCTACGCATGTCCGCACATTCTCGGAATTGATTTGGAACCACTGACAGGGTGTTACAGAACGGTAACGCCGTCCTTGCCGAACCCTCTTGCTCATCGCTGATGCTCATGCCACACAGGATTTCCAGAATTGATTCGGCACCTCTGACAGCTTGTTTACAGAACGGTCACCGAGCTGGGCAGACCCAATGACAGGAATGACAGAAATGACAGAAGTGACAAGTGTCATTGTTCTTTGGGAGCATTTCGGGGTGCATGCCAGTCCGTACCCTCTTGCTACTCAATACTCGACGCCTCCGTGCCAGCCCACGGTTTGCTAGAAATCCTCCCTCTGGACGAGTCCGTGCTTACCCATGGTTTGCTGCACGTCAAACGTCAAAGCTATCTTACTCATGGTGCTCGCCGCTCTGCTTGGACTTCAACCCAGGGCCTGTGGCACCACCTTAGCCTATGTTAACAAGAAAGAAACCATGCCTTTCGAATTGGATTGCGCGTGCAATGCAGTTATGGAAGAGCCCACCGAAACCAATGTCGTGTGGTTGCTTGACACTTGGTCTTTCACATGGAAGCAGCGCGGGCGCACGCGAGCCATTGGGCCCGCTGCTTATGAAAAATATTGTACGCTTGGCCTCTTCGGTCATGGAGGGATGACCGGCATCTCTAAAGCCTCGTTGGCACCAGAGGCATGCAAAGCCGTCAATCATTTCCTGAAGAATTCGCTTTCCACATGGCTCGTGGACTTCAATCGCAATTCTCTACAATCCGAACGTGGGTTTGCATCGGGACATACAAAATATGCCCGGCCTCATGAACCACGCCATCGCCGTGGGAAGTTTCAATGGCGGGCGGGTTTGGTTGGAAGATGAGCAAGGCACATCAAAAGTTCATCTCGCAACCAAAAATGGATTTCGTGAACTTAATGGAACGTGGGTTGACATGCACAATACGCCCGTATCTTTCGACGCAAGACGTTTTCATCAGGTCGAGCCACATGAAGGGAAAATGTGGGCGCTCGCAGCGTACACACCACAAGCCTTCAAGCGATGCACATCCACACACCAAAAGAAATTGACATCATTGGGATTTCCATTGCCGCAACTGGAAAAATGACAGCCGTCATTTCCGTCATTTCCGTCATTTTCGTCACTTTCCAAGGCCCGGGGGGTAGGGAGCCAGGCTGTCAGGGGGACTGCCACGGGGCCTACCATGGGCTACCAGGGCTGTTGATGTGCAGCAGAGCGTCTGTGGATTTTTCTGAGAAATGTCATTTCATGTCTGTCATTTCCGTCATTTCCGTCATTTGAGCTGACTCAATGTGCAGCAGAGCACGCGTGGATTTTTTTCTGAGAAATGTCATTTGTCATTTCTGTCATTTCCGTCATTTCCGTCATTTGAGCTGACTCTTAATGTGCAGCAGAGCACGCGTGGATTTTTTTTCTGAGAAATGTCATTTGTCATTTCTGTCATTTCCGTCATTTCTGTCATTTTCGTCATGTCCGTCATTTGAGCTGCTTCATGTGCAGCAGAGCACGCGTGAATTTCTTTTTCTATCATTCATCGAGCCGGGCTCATCTACCGGGCTTGTACTCTCTTGTCTGTCCAATGCAAGCTCGAGTGACAGAAATGACGGAAGTGACGGAAATGACAAAATGACAACTCCAATTTTGTTCAACATAAAATCTCGCGCATGCTTTCCTGCCTGTCCAATGCAAGTTCGAGTGAAAAATGACGGAAATGACGGAAATGACGGAAATGACAAAATGACAACTCCAATTTTGTTTTACAAAAAATCTCGCGCATGCTTTCCTGCCTGTCCAATGCAAGTTCGAGTGAAAAATGACGGAAATGACGGAAGCGACGGAAATGACAAAATGACAACTCCATTTTTTTTAAATCTCGCGCATGCTTTCCTGCCTGTCCAATGTCAGCTCGAATATGGTGTTTCTGTCTGTCAGTTCAGCTGGCTTTTGATGTGCAGCAGAGCACCTTTTTTGGATTTTTTTCTGAGAAATGTCATTTGTCATTTCTGTCATTTCTGTCATTTCTGTCATTCTTGCGTTTTTTTGCGTCCATGCGCCTTCTGGCTGCGTTTCGGGGCGGTTGGGCTTTGTCATTATCTTGTCATTTCTGTCATTTTTTACTTTGGATGTGAAAAAACAAACCGGCCGGCACGGCCAGACTCTCTCTTAAGTAGACACCTTTTCGACCCTCTGAAGGCTATTCACAGCCAGAGTGAATCATATCGAATTCCTGCACTTCTGACGCTAAAAAAAACAATCTCGAAACAGAGATGAAGCAGCAAGGCCATAGACTCAAAACAAATTTGCCCTTCCAGGCCAAATAAGAAGTGGAGCGATCCGTCGAAAAAATCGCCCAGAAATGTCGTGTTGGAGCTTCGGGGTGCAAAAAGGAGGGCGCAGCCCGGATAACGCCCGAAGCTCCAGGAGGGCATTTCTGGGCGATTCTCTCTGCGAACACTTTTTTTGGCCTACAGGGCAAATTTGTTTTGAGTCTATGGCCTTGCTGCTTCATCTCTGTTTCGAGATTGTTTTTTTTAGCGTCAGAAGTGCAGGAATTCGATATGATTCACTCTGGCTGTGAATAGCCTTCAGAGGGTCGAAAAGGTGTCTACTTAAGAGAGAGCTCCGTCTCCCGTTCTACGTACCAGGTGGCCCATCTACTCTATGCGGGGTCGCACTTCGTCCAAGCCGCCGATCTGCAAGCTGCACTTATTGAGCTACAGCCCTGGGCCTTTGCCTGTCCTGCTCTCTGGGGGGTGCCTTTCTTCCTCATGGAACCTGACTGCGCGCTGCCACTCACACGGCTACGCCCACCGTTACAGGAGGGCGGCCCGGATGGGGACGAAACGGCGGAGCTCACATGACTGCACCTGCAGTTATGGCTCGCCGCCCTCTCCGAGCCCTTGCGACGCCCGTGTGGTAAGCTGGGCTTGAGTTCCGGGCGGGGTCTGCGCAATAGCTCAGTGAAAGCTGGGCCCACGCCCTTACACACAGTTTTGCTGCTTTGATCTGCCGTGTCTCGTTTATTCCTTTCTGCAGAGCTCTTATCTGGAGCGACCCCACATCACTACCGGGGCACGCCACTGTCCCGTGCTTGGCATGACGTGGAATGCTGCCTTGGAACAGCTAGGCTCCCGTACGTCATGACTGTGTGCAGTCTGTTTTCCTCGAGCCTGACATCTTGCTATTGCCCTTGCGAAACCCTTGTGGTAAGCTGGGCTAAACACTGTCTGATCGCTTGCCCTTGCGACGCCCGTTCTGGACGCTGGGCTTTCTTGCGTTCCGGCGTGTCACTGCTGCCATTGCTCAATTTCCATCTCTTCTCGATGTGTGTCACGAATGTTTCTAGGGATGGCTGCCCCACCATGCCTCCCTGATACACGCCGTACCATTGAGGCGCGTGTGTCTTGTTGGCCTCTTTGGAGCGCCCTGCCAGCAATCTTGCAGTGCCCATTTGGGAAGCTGTTTTTCTTCTCATCCGCCTCTTTTGCGCGGCTTCAACCGAGTGGCACCTGTCCTTCGCTGGGCAATTTTGTTGAGGCCACTACACAGCCTGCTAGAGCGTGCTTCTCATACCGCAACTATTAGGCTATGCCAACAACCCTTGCGAGGCCCAACTTGGGAAGCTCGGTTTCTTGGCCGCTTTCGGCTGCGGCCCCGGCCGGGTGGCACTTGTCTCTTGCTGGGACAATTGTGATGGCACCGTTCCGCGGCTGGTCAATCTGTGGATGCCGCTAACAGCCTGCGCCGTGTGTTTCTCATTACCGCACTTCGTGGCTTTGCCCATAACCCTTGGGAGGCCCAACTTGGGAAGCTGGGTTTCTTGGATTGGGCTGCTTTCGGCTACGGCCCCGGCCGTGGTCTTGTCTCTTGCTGGGACAATGGTGTGGAGACCGCTCTACGGCCTGCTGATATGTGCCACCTTGCCACAATTGTGATGATCGATCGGTGGCAGCTGGCTACATCGCGAACATGTCCAACTGAGGGGCACTTTAGATATACAAAGGTTGAACGATCCCTGCCGGCTTAGTCTGCAAGTCGCGACCTGTCTCACCATTAGTTTTCTGTACGTTGAGGCCCGCTCACGCCAAAAAAAGCTCAAAGTGTCCGCGAGGGGTAGGGCTGACTTGGTTGCTTAACTCTGATCGGCTTGGGGCCTCTGTGCCGCAGCCCTGATTGGCAGCCCTGGACCGTGGGGTGGCCGGAGTTAAGTATGATGCCATCCTTCAGTACCGCTGCAGGGACAGCCGCTCACTCGCTTGAGAAAGCCTTTCTCGCTAATTCTCGCCTCTCCATGAGCAGTTGACATTTATCTGTTCTGTGTGATGTCTGCCCTTTCTGGGAAGCACCAGACGCGTGCATCTCTGCGGCCCTTGCGAGACCCCTTGCGGGAAGCTGGGCGTGGAGTCGCCGCCATTCCGGCCGAGGAGTCTTGCTTCTTGGCTCACCGACCCATTACGCTATGGCAATTAGCCCTTGCGAGGCCCACCTTGGTGGGAAGCTGGGCTAACGCCTGCCTCTTGTTTTACCATTCCCTTTGTGCGTTTTTATCTGTTTAGCCCTTGCGAGGCCCACCCATGTGGGAAGCTGGGCTGCAGGCCGGCTGACTGCCGACAGCCGCTTTTTGCCGGTTACCAATACGTCGGGTGTTCACACCCCTATGGATTGCATGCACCCGCTCGTGGAAGTCCTGCCATCGGAAATGGGCATGCCAGCTTGGCAACACATTGTGCTGGCAGCTGTCGCTCTGGTGACTACGGATATGAAGGCCAAGGTGACCTCTTCTGTGGATTGAGCTTTGCTTTTCTGATGATGGCCATTGCGCGACCCAAGTCTTACGGGGAGCGGGGCTCGTGATCCGGCAGCTTTCGATTCATTGAGCTGAACGATTTAGCCGACTAAGTCTGTATGTCGCAGCTCGTTTCACCTGAACAGATAGTTTGTACATTCTTGTGTTTGTAGTTCTTGTCGTTCTTACTGGGACCGAGTACAGCGACCTGCTGCTTTGAGGCCCGCCCACGCCAAAAATTTTCGCGATTTTCGAGCCTGAAGAACTTCTTTCAGTCTCGAAGTTTTTTTCCCTCAGAGCTTAAGAGGCATTTTCGGTAAAACGTTTCGCGAAAATCGGACTCGAAAAAACCCCTCTATAAGCCCACCTTTGCTATTATTCCAGTGTCACAAAAAGTGGAAGATAGAAAGCAGTAAAGGGCACACCAAGTCCAAGACGCAGATTTGCCTGTATCTCTTGGCCACGGTGGTCAAGGAGGAAGATACACTACCTCAAACTCTTCAAAGAACCTTCTCCACATTGCGTATCTAGTTTGACCTCCTTCTGACTTCAACAGCTTCAATGGCCAATTCCGAAGAAAAGAAGCCAACATCGCAAACAGCTTTGTGCTTCTTTCTCTCTCCGACTGTATACTCTGCTGGCTTTGGTGGTGCCAGCTCCACTTTCTTCAACTCATCTGCAATAGGTGGGATCAATGAAGCCCACAAACACTTTGAAACTGGCTCCAATCGGGCCACTGTGAAATTTATTCCTCCAAGTTCTTTGGAGCAACACACATCTGCAGAGTCACAACTCTTTGCTTCTTGCTTGACGTAGGCAGTCAGTTGTTGCACCTCCTTTGTACTAAACCTAGAAGTGTGCCTCAAGGCGCGTTTGAGTTTTAACGTGGTAGCAAAGCTCAAGGTTGCTTCTCAGAGCCATGGATCCACGAGTTGAGCCCGCGACCGTTTCCCGAGGGGACGGAGTTCGAGACGGAGTGCTAGTCGTGCCAGTGGAGTTTCTTCTGGCTTTCCTTCAACCCGTCGAGAGTTGAGTGCACCTGGCTTGCGGACTCTTGGAAGGTTCCTTCCTGCTCGGAACAGTTCGACAGCACACCGGCCTGTGAGTAGACCCAGACCTCTTGTGAGTGCAGGTCAAGTGCCTCAGGTGCCTTACCCACAGGTATCTCAGCAGGTTCCGTTGCAGCAGGGTTTTCAGCAGCAGCAGCAGTCTCAGTTTGGAGCACAACCAGCTGAAGCATGATGAATATCAGAGTGTTTTCAGTTTGTTTGCTGTGAGAGCGGACTTCTAGACGAAGTCCGAGGAACATCTTCAGGATCGAAATCGTCGCGAAATGCAGTTGTAAACGAACTTAAGGTCGTATTCGAGTTTCATTAGAAGGTACGTCTTAGTGCTAATTTTCGTCGCGAAATGCAGCCGCAAACGACTTAAGGTCGAATCGGAGTTTGATTCGGAGGTACGTCTTAGAGCTAATTTTCGTTGCGAAATGCAGTCGTAAAACGAACTTAAAGTCGTATTAGAGTTTCATTAGGAGGTACGTCTTAGAGCTAATTTTCGTCGCGAAATGCAAGCCGTAAACGACTTAAGGTCGAATCGAGTTTCATTCGGAGGTACGTCTTAGAGCTAATTTTCGTCCGAAATGCAGTCGTAAACGAACTTAAAGTCGCATCGGAGTTTTTTTCGGAGCTAATTTTCGTCGCGAAATGCAGTCGTAAACGAACTTAAGGTCGTATTAGAGTTTCATAGGAGGTACGTCTTAGAGCCTATTTTCGTTGCGAAATGCAGTCGTAAACGAACTTAAGGTCGTATCGGAGTTTCATTTGGAGGTATGTCTTAGAGCTAATTTTCGTCGCGAAATGCAGTCGTAAACGAACTTAAGGTCGTATTAGAGTTTCATAGGAGGTACGTCTTAGAGCTAGTTTTCCACAAAGATTGAGACCATATCCGAGTCTCTACGTGGTCACTACGCGGTCACTACGCGGTCACTACGGTCACTACGCGGTCACTACGGTCACTACGGTCACTACGCGGTCACTACGCGCTCACTACGGTCACTACGAGGCCACTACGGTCACTACGCGGTCACTACGGTCACTACGCGGTCACTACGGTCACTACGCGATACTGCAAAATAGTTAAAGCGACGGAACGGGAAAGCCGAGTTCCATCAGTTCCGCGACGTGAGATTCATGAGCATGTTTGTATGCTTGAGGCGTATATGCGGCAAGAGCCCACACGTTTCCGCGATGCTTTTCAAGCATGTGATATTTCCGTGCATTGAACGAAACGGCTTTGTCATGCATGTCAACCCACGTTCCGCGTAGCAGCTTCTGACCGCTTTTCGTTTCCAGCAATGCAGTTGCTTGTCCGTTTTCATCTTCGATCCAGACTCGACCTTCCATGAAATTACCTAAGGTGATAGCGTGGTTCGCATGCCCAACCATGTTCAGGATGTCTCGATGCAACGGCATTGACGGATTGCGCAGCACCGCGATGGAAGCCCACGTTTGATTCGGAAAGCGCTCTCTGAGAAAACGGTTGACGGCGATGCACGCCGTTTTCATTTGAGACGCTCTAGGAATGCCAAAGACGCCGCCGTGTCCAAAGAAGCCGAGAGTGCTGATAAGCATGCGGACCGATGGCTCGAGTGCGGCCACGATGCTTCCAACGCGTTGACCAGTTGTCGAGCAGCGCGACCAAGTTATGTTCGGATGCGCGGCTCATGACAGCCTCGCATGCAAAGTCGAGCTCGGCGTCGACTTCTTTGCGAGACATGTTTGTTGACGATGCAACATGCTGTTGACGAAGTACCGGGCATCCAGTGGGCCCAGCTCGTTGGTCTGCAAGAAGCGGCATGGACTGCTTGCCCAGGATCGTGTTCCCGACCCATCGCGCCTCCAGGTTTCGTACGAACCTGGGAGTGAAGCTCCTGCGCGAAATTCCATATTTGTCCGCTCTCCGCGGTTGGGGAGCGCACGAGGTGGTGGGCGTCGCCGGGCGGTCGTCGTCGATCGGTGTGGCTGCTCGTCCGGTGTTGGGTCAAGGTGGCCGTGAGCAGCTCGTCCTTGGCCACGTAGCTTTGCGTTTCGGAGGAGCTGGCATTCGGCGATAGGATCCAGCGTGGATCCCGCGGTGGACCTCGCCGTGAACAACAGCCTCAGAGCTTTGTGGACACGCCGCTGGTGCAGAGCGGGGCGGCTACACTGGAAATCCAAAACGCCGCCACTCACCACGGCCATCTCCTTCCACAACACTTGAACCGGGACGTCACCTCAACGCTGCGACGGCGGATGTCGCCCAGTTCTTTGTTGGGTCAATAGCGGCTACGGAACAGGAGCGTCACCGCCAACTTGGAGGTCGTAAGTGCAGGCACTGCTCACCGTCCAGGCACCAACCGGGTCCGTCAACGACGCTCTGCGACTTCCGAAGCTTGTCGGACGGGAGTGCGCAACGCCGCGCCCGCGGGCGAGGCTTTTGCTACCAGAGCGGCATGGTCGAGCGTGCAGGTTCCAATTCATCAGTTTAACAACATATCTAGCTTGGCGAACCTGGGTATCGAGCCCAACATCGGCGAAAGCAGCGATGGCGAGATCTTCGGCTACGGCCTTGGGAGCCGCAGCTTCTTCGATCGCATCCGCGGCGCCAAGGAGCAAGTCGGCTTCAGAGGCCCAGGATGTGCAGGCCAGCAGGCCGCTAGACCATGTGCAAGGTCAAGAACTGGGACGGTAGGGAGCTCATTGCGAAAAACAGAGTGCGCAGCACACGGTCTGCTTCTTGAGCCAAACGGGCGCAGCTCAGCGTTTTTGGGCTGACATTGAAACACTTCACAGCTGTCTGTCTCCAAGCAAAACAATTCAGCACTTAGCGAAACGAGACGAAACGAACGTGCAGTCACAGACCTAACCCAAAAACTCAGCAAAACATGGTGCAGACATGCTGGAACATCAGGACATCCATTTCTCACACTCATGGCTCTCGATCTGAGAATCCGTGGTTCTGTTGGGCGTGGTAAGTCGCTGCAGAAGCCGGTCGAAGCCCTCGAGAAGAAGCGCAAGGAATTGGACTGATGGTATGTGTTAATTTCTGGTACATGCTTGGATACAATAGCACAGCCGACATCTCCGACGCGGAGCTAGCGAACTCTGGCACTAGGGCGACGTTACGACTGCCACACCAAGTGTCGTCACCCAGGCGGACTAGAGCATCTTAGACGGAGAGTGGGGTTTGGCAGAGCAAGTTGCAGATCAGTTCGAGTCCCAGTCGCCACATTCTCGCTCAAGTTTTGCCGCGTTTCTAAGGAAATGGGCCACTGCCACTCGCCGCCAAGCTCGCCGAGTTGATTTGGCTGTGGTCAACTGTTCGCCTGGCAGTCGCAAGGTGCCGTTCGAGTTCTGCAGCGTGGCCACCCCACAATCGCAGGTTCCCATTGGTCTGCTCGATCAGAGGTGTGTTCCCGCTGGCGCGTTGGACCTAGCTGGCCCGTTGGATCTTGGGCGCGCGCCCAGGACCAGCAGGCCCTCGACATTGCGGCGCAGCCGCGGAGGCCAACGCCACCGCCTTGGTCGCCCTGTGCACCACGTCTACGAGGAGAAGAAGGCAACGGCGGTGAGAACGGCAATCAAGAGCCTGCGACGCCTACTCCAAAGCCGAAGTCTTCCTGGCGCGTGCGCTTCGTGGTGAGGCTGGTGCTCACGCGATGCTGGAGCCGTTTCATGTGTTTACTCATGGGTGTTTTACTTTACCGCGTTCCAAACACAACATTTCGGCCCAAGACACGCGTGCTTCAGCATAGCATAAAGCTTCGCTTCATGCTTTATAAAATTTTGAACATGCAGCATATTGCTTTTACTTTTTCATGCACATGATTTACTTCAGCACGCGTCAGTTTTGTAATTTTGTCAACCTAGCTTCCTCGCGTCCTTTGATGGACTCGGAGGCTGACCCTGCTCCACAGTCGGCAGAGCTTCAACAAACTTTACAGTGGTTGGACCTCCCTGTCAGGCAATTTGACATTGCTTTGTGTGAGGCAACTTTGTCCGACAGGATCACTGCACTGGAGGAGCAACTTTCTGCTCTTCAATCTTCACGCCAAGCTTCCTTTGCAAAGCTGGAAAAGTATCGCACTTACTTTGACAGTAGTCTCTGGAGCCTTTTTGAAGGTGCCAAAAAGCAGGCCAGCAAGGAGAGTGCAGCGATCCGTGAGGATTTCTTTGCTGCTTTACTTGAGCTTCGTGAAGACACTCTGGAAGCTTTAGGTGGCGTTCACGAAAGAGTAGATCATATTCTTCAACAGCGATTGCCTGCTTTACATACAGATATCGACATCCTGAGTGCTCGCCTTCAGATCCTCGAAGGCTGCCCGGAGCCCACCGACAGTGTTTCTTTCCTGGATTCGCTTGACTAGACAATGGCAGATGCTTCTGATGATAGCCGTCTTCGTGTGAAACGTTACAGGCGGCAACCTGCTGAAGCTTCTTTACAGGACGCTCCAATGGAACCTGATGAGGCTTCTTTACAAGATGCCGTAGTGGAACGAGAAGATGGCAGGGATGATTCCAGCCCTGCTTTGACACTTTCGTCAGGTTATGGTTCTTTTGCGGTTGTGGAAGCCGCGCCAGAGATTGATTTACCAGTACCTTCATCCTGGCTGTCAGGTGCTTCTGCTTTGCCGTTGGTGCCGGCCGCGCCCAAGTGGAAGCCTCGGCCTCGACCGTGCTTTACGCCTGTGGACAGGTCTGCTCCGTCAGCTACGGCACCCTCGCGCGGTGATGTGCCCAAAGCTCGACCGGTGTTTTCGCAGAGATCCACCGCTACTTTGCGTGTGTCACAGGATGCACGTGCCAGACCTGCTTTTCGCCCTGCTCGCGATTATGCGGTCTACCCCTCGGAGTCCAGATCTTTGGCGGCTCCCGACTTTTCGGTACGTGGGTCACGTCCGGCACTTCGGCCCAGGATGACCTTTTTGTGGATGACTTGCTTCAGGCTGCAGATGCTTTTGCCCCTGCGAAGGATTATTCCTTTCCACCGGAACCACCTAGGGTGATGCCTGGCAAGTTTGCTTTGCCGACTCGGCCGGCGAATTCCACAGCTCGGGTCACCTTGCAGAACGATGTGCATGCCAAGCTTCGTGCCAAGGGACTTCTATTGTGGCGTCAATTAGTTCTGCTACTTTCACCTTTGAGCTCTGCCCTTCAGGAGATTTTGGAGTCGGCATCCTCAGAAGCTTTGCTTTCTCAGCTGGTTTCCTCGGTGGCTGACACGACACTGGTCAGGTATGTTCAGAGTTGCCTGCAGTACTTTGCGTTGCTTCAGGATCTGGGCTTCGACGCCTCACGGATCTCCCAGGTGCAGGCCTATGATGTGATGATACAGCTTTACAGGTCCCCTGAAGATGAAGAGGAAGTCCCTACATCGTGCTTTCCACTTAACACACTGAAAGCTTTGAGGTGGATGGTCAAAGTGGCCACCATTTCTTTTCCGGATCTGTATACAGGGCTTTTTCACTCGGTTGCCCACCAGCGTAATGAGGCAGATCGCAGGGAGTCAGTGCCTCTGCCACTCGATTTTGTGGCTTATCTGGAGTTTTGCCTGCTTTCGAATGCTTTTCCGGAGCTACAGTTGAACATTGGTGCGCTGCTTGTCATGATCTGGGGCTCCCTGCGTTTCAGTGATGCTATGCACGTCAAGTGGGGCTCACTCCTCTATGAACAAGAGGTAGGCCGTGGCATTTCTTTCCGGACAAAGACCTCGGAGCGTGGTGCTCCCTTCGGGGTGGTCGGGGTCGGACTGATTGGCCCGTGGTTTTCCTCCTGGCTTGCTTTACTGAAAAATGAGTGGGGTCGTATCGGTAATGTGGCAGGCCACGTGGAGCCGGATGCTTTACTTTTCCACTCAAGTGATGATGAGCTGTTCGTCCCAATGACTTATGGAGAAGGCCTTGCTACTTTGCGACACCTTCTGTGGCAGTGGAATAAGCTTTCCAAGGCCCAGGTGGAGAATTTTACTTTACATAGCTGTAAAACAACGCTGTTGTCATGGGCGAATCAACTTTGCATCAGCGAAGCTCGGCGAGCCGTGCAAGGACATCACAGGCACAGCAGCGCACGCCTCTACAGCAGAGATGACGTCTTCGGTGCGTTAACTTTACAAAAAGAGCTGTTGCTTGCGATTCGACAAGGATGGCGGCCTTTGTGTCCCCAACACCGGGGAGGACAAGTTCCTTTACACGAACCGGCCCTGGAGAATCGGTCAGTCAGCTTTGCCGATCCATGCTTTGCGATCCCAGGGGGTCCGCCGTCTTTTGACCATGCTTCTCAGCTTTGCCCCACTGTCGATGTGGATGCAGACTTGGCAGGTGATACCTTTACGGCAGCATCGGGCTCCGCACTGCTTTCGGCCCCGGAGAAAGCAGCTACTTTGCCGGTGCACTCGTCAGGCGATCAGGGCTCTCCGGAGGAGCTTCTTTTCATCATCACTGCCAAGACTATACACAAGGCGGTGGTTTGCTCGGAGCTCGATCGGTGTACCACTTTCCAAGGAGTGCACCTGAAACCTGCTTGCGGATGCATCGTGAGCGTCTTCCAGGTGGTGCATTTTGCACCCACAGGCAAGAAACTTTGCAGACACAAAGCATGCTTGGAGCTTTGATTTTGCAAGAAAATAGGTTGCTGCAACGGTGTTTCTTTGCATGTTGCCAATACATTCCATGCGGTTTGTACTGTTGCCAGCCTCGCTTGTCTTAGCCTCAGCTCGCTTCAGCTTTACTGCTTCGGAGCTTCGGGGGGACTTTCCACGGCGTCTTCTACGAGGCGGGGTTGCACAGCTAGCTTTTCTGCTGTGTCGTGCAGAACACAGTCGCAATGCAGCAAGACGGTTACGTGTTGTGCTTTCCCAGTGTTTCAGCATGACGCGTCACATGAGCGTGCGTCTTAATGGGCGCTCGAAACACTGGTTGCGTCGACTTTACGTCTTAATGGGCGCCCGAATCACTGGTTGCGTCGAGTTTGCGTCCTAATGGGCGCTAACAGTGCGGGTTGCGTCAACTTTGCGTCCTATAGGCGCTCGAAACACGGGTTGCGCCAACTTTGCGTCCTAATGGGCGCTCTAGCCAATGGCTGCGCCAACTTTGCGTCATAATGCGCGCCATTTGAGCACTACTTGCGTCGCTTACGAATGCTTTGCGTCATATTATGCGTCTCAATGTGCGTCAAATTCAGGCTTCGCGTCCGACATGTGCGTCAAATTCCGAGCTTTGCGTCAATTGTATGCGTCACATTCCCGTCAAATTCCTGTCAAATTCGCGTCATATTCGTCAGCTTTGCGTCAAATGTGCGTCACATTCCGGTCAAATTCCGGTCAAATTCGCGTCATATTCGGTCAGGCAGATTCGCGTCACATTGCGTCAGCTTTGCATGCTTGTCAGTGATGTCATGTGCCAGCTCCTGCAGTCAGCTTGTGCGTTATGTCACATGACTTCATGTGAAGCTTTGTTTTGCATTGCAGAGCTTTGCCCGAGACTTTGCGCGCGCCCCCTGTCACAGCCTCTCGCTTTACTTTGCGTCATGGCCCAGAGTGATTGCTTTCCGGAAAACTTTTCGGAGCTTTCGGCGTGGGATCTCTGGGATGCCTCGGAGCAGTTTGCAGGGCGGGACGGTTATTCCCGTGAGCAGTGGTTCAGCTTCTGGCGTTCAGCTTTGCAAGATCGGGTGGGTGCCCCGACCCAGGAGCCCTGTTCTACTTTGCCCTCACCTACTACGACGGAGCCTGCACCCTCAGACGAACTCGACGGTGCTACGACGGAGGTGGCTTCTACTTTGCCTGCATCGGCAATCGATCCCTCATCTACTTTCCCGGCTCCGCCGGAAGTCCCCTACCATGAATGGGGCACAGATGAGTGGGTGCCTACGCCCAGGGCCAGCTGGGAGGAGGACTCATGGCCCTCTCAGGAGCCCTGGGTCCCAAGGAGGTGACACAGCACCTCGAGCGTTAGGACCCGCGCCCGGACCCCACTACTTTGCAGACGCCTTCTGATGGTCCGGGCGAAACTTTGCCCTGCACGGTGGAAGCGGATCCCCCTGCCTCACCACAGGCGGCTGAAGTGCTTTCCACGGATGGGCCGCCCTCTTCTTTGCCTACACCTACCACGGAGGAGGCGGAGAACTTTAACTATGTGCCGTGGAATTTTTCGCAGCTTACGGAGGCGGAACTGTGGCAAGCGTCCGCATTTTTCGAAGATTGGTTGGGATATGACAGACAAGAGTGGCTGGACTTTTGGGTCACTTTGCGGGAATCCCAGGGGACTTCAGCTACTTTGCACACGGCTTCAGATGGTGCTGCTGGGTCCACTACGGATGCTCCCCCAGATCCTTTACCTTCCACGACTTCTACAGATTCGTCCCCTCCTTTACCTTCGTCGGCAGCTTCGGGGACTACCACAGCACAGGACGGCAGTTCTTTACCGCAAGCCTCGGCATCAGCAAGCGGCGATCGGCCGCGTACTTTACCTCACAACCAGCGCGTTTTCCGTACTGAGTGGGGCGAAGATCAGTTGATCCAACGGGCAACGGTATTTTGGTGCCGAGAGGGCTGCACCAGCTGCTCAGGAGCAGGTACGTGCGGCGCTACTTTGCTCGATCCTCGTCATGCACACGTCCATCGTTGCAGACTCTGTTGTGGAGAATACCGTCGACGGCAGGGGCGCAATACTTTCTGCAATGCTTACGGACAGTAGCTATGTACTTTACTGCCAGACGCGTCCTCCAAGGTGCTTTTTCTGGCGGTGAAGTCCTTAATTGCGTCAATGCTGGGTTCCCACAGCTGATACTTTGCTTTAGCGTTATGCTTCTATATATGTACTTTGCTCAGCGTTGCACGGGCCTCCGGCCCCCTCCTTTCTTTGCGTCTGGGACCCAGCAGCACGCGTACCGACCTACTTTGCTTCTTGAGAAAAGATTCGGCGTGCCGTGCGAAGCTTTGTGACACTGTCATGCACAATTTCTGCCACATGTGTGACTGTCAGGCTATGGATTCTTTATCCCCGAGATCTACGGTGCAGCAGTTGGCCACAGCTTTGCAGCTCTCGATTCCGGCATCTGCAGCATCTCTTGGTGATTTGACTTTGCTTTCGTTTGGCCTTGGCACTGTGAACCTGGAAGGTCTCGATGCTTTCCTCACGGCCAAAGGGTTGTCGCCGGATGCTGAAGAGATTCCAGTTATCAGAATGTTGTGGGTGCAAGCACATAAAGTTTGTAGTTTGCCGTCAGCGACCTCGGATTCTTCGGCCAGTACCCTGCATTCCACATGGGCTGAAACTTTTCCTCCCAAACTTTCCACAGAAACAACATTACAGTTGAGGCGTGACTTTGAGAAAGCCTATCCTTCCGAAGTTTTGGATGATACCAATTTTCCGAGTGCACGCCTACTTTCCCTTGCTTACAGACTCAAAAGCAAATCGGACTGGAGATTCATTCCTTGGAAACACAGACTTTCGAAGCTACAGGAGGAGGACTATCACTCGGCTCGTCCCAAGAAGATGGCGAAATTTGAGAGCTTTACCGACGTCCTTTACGACGACGTGCCCTCACGCAACATCGCTGAGAACATGGGGCTGTGTGGGATCAGCAATTTACTTTCCATACGTTCCAACGCCATTGCACTCGCGGACATTGCTCATCTCGCTACTTTACGTGCCTATGAGCGTAAGTTCTTGAAACATGTCCAAGCCCGAACAGATCCCACTTTGCGTCCACCGAACGCACAGGAGTGCGAAGCAGCTGATCGGCGATGTTGGGAGGTCGTCGGTCAGCTCAGGCAGGAGGGTTGGTCGGTTGATGATGCTTTGCATGAGTTCACGGATGTTCGCGCGGAGCTCGTTGCTTTGCTCGCTCCCCGGCTCGCCCCTGTCAAAGGGAAGAAAGGAGATGGCAAGGGCGGCAAAGAACCCTGGAAGGGCCAACCCCACAAAGGGGGCAAGACCACGGGGGGCAAAGGCGGTGCAGGTGCTGGAAAGGGGAAGTCTAACTTTACCAAGGGCACCCATGCATTTGAGTGGGCGAGCAAGGCGAAGATCAATGGGGAGCAGAAGGTACTTTGCATGGCATACAGTACCCACAAAGGTTGTACATCTGCCAATTGCCAGTTCGAGCACCTTTGCCCCGTGATCTTGGAAAATGGTAAGATTTGCCTGCAGAAGCACCCGGCTTATCAACATGCACAGAAGGCAGGCTCTTGAGGGGGACCGGGCCTTGAAGACGCAGGCAGTGAAGGCCTGGTTCCAGTTACTTTGCCTGCAGATGATCCAGGAGATGCTCATTCTCCGCAGCCCCGTGATCCTCCTCCGGATCCCGTGGCATCGAGTGCTCCTCAGACCTTTGCAAGCGTTGTCTCGGAACCTGGCTCAGGCTTTTTCTTGGACATCAACGGAGGGGCTCGTCGCCCACTCTCGGCAGCTTTTCTTGGAGCGGGCTGTGATACCTTTTCAGTCGCTCCCGAGGCTTTTCCAGAACGAGACCTTTTGCAGGATGATTTCTTCTTCGCTTTGCTCAAAGTTTGTCACTCTGGGCAGGTAGCTCTTCTACACATTCTGCTTTTGGCCAGCGACTTTTCTTCGACTCTCTTCGAGCGTATGATCCAATTAGCACATGCTTGTTTTGCAGCGGGATCCCACGTGTTGCTTTCTCAGCATTCTTCTTCAGCAGTTTGGAGCAATCCTTCATTGCTTTTTCTCTTGCGACAAATGAGCTCCGATATTATTTTCTGGGATCCGCGTCAGTTTGGGTGCAACTTTTCGAACTTTGGGATTTTGGCGGCATCCTTCTCTTCTTTGCAGCATTTGGCGACATCCTCTTCGGCCACCTCTTCAACGAAGGCCCCTGTGGAGCCCGCTGATTTCGCACTCAGCGCGGACTTTGTGCTTGCGGTGGCCAAAGGTTCTCTGCATCTTTTCTCTTCCAGAAGTCCGGAACCTGAAGATTTGCATCTGAGTCAGATTCCTTTCCTGCGACAGGTCAAACAGACGTTCGAGCCTCCCTTTGCGAATCAGGACGGTGCTGGGATTTACTCGGTACCTGATTGGAGTGCTCCCCCACCAGGGGTACGGGATGTACTTTGTGACCTCAGATCCAAGCTTCGACAGTGGCTTTTTGACAATAAGATTCCACAGCGACTGCGGCTCCATGCTTTGCAGCACAGCTCGGATCCTCTTTTCCAGGAGGGTGAGATTCATCATTTGAGGCAACTTTTCCAGACCTGGGTTTTCGAGCAAGGGTCGCAACATGAAGTCGACTGGACGATCCCTGAGCATCAACCATATGCCTTACATGCCTTGAAATTCTTTTCCGAGTTTGTCAAGGACAAGGACGATACACTTTGTCAGTGCTTGATTGATGGAGTCCCCACGGGGTACGATGGCGACATTCCGCTTTCCAAGGTCTTCATACCACACCCTTCGGCACCAGAGCTCGACCACCAGCTTTCCATCGCCAAGGACAACTGGCAGAGTGCTAACAATGATCCTGATACTTTGCGGGAACTTGTGCAAGCTGAGGTTCAGAAAGGATGGCTGTTCGAGATGCCTTCTTTACAGGCGGCCCAGGAGCGTTGGGGGGAACGCGTCGCGGTAGGGAAAATGTCGCTCGTACTTTCCCCGCCGAGGGCTCCAAGACTGGTGGTCGACTCTACTGTCTGTGGTACCAATGACGCCTGCTCTATTCCGGAGCGTTATACTTTGCCAGGCCTCCAAGATGTTCGAGATTGCTTTCCTTTACGTCGTCATACAGGCCTGTGTGAAGGTTTCCACCTGGATGTCAAGGCGGCTCACAAAACGGTGCGCGTCAAAGAGTCAGACCAAGGGTTGCTCGGTGTCACTTTGCCAGGTCAAGAGGGTGAAGATGATAAGCTTTTCTTTTATCGCGTGTGTCCGTTCGGTGCAAACTTTTCCGCTTTGTGGTTTCAACGACTGGCTGGCATGCTTCTGCGACTGATGCACCTTTGGATATTTGCCCGTCACGCCCTTATGGGCTATGTCGATGATTTTCTTTTCATCCAGGACCGCGAATGTATCCTGTATTCAGCTTCCCTTTTACTTTGCTTTACATCCATATTTGGTGTGCCCCTGAGCTGGGCCAAGTTACAGTTGGGGAGCTGTATAACATGGATTGGCTGGACGTTCAACTTTACCAGCGGCTCTTTTCACATTCCTCAAGAGAAAGTTGACAAGCTTTTCCACTTGATTCAGGAAGCTACGCGGTCCAGGAGGGTTACAAGTGCCCTGTTGCACAAACTGGTGGGACTCCTGCAGTGGTTCTGCCAACTTTACAAATCTTGTAAACCTTGGTTGGCTGCGCTTTTCTCGGACCTCCACAGACATTTGGCCTCTCAGTATAGCATATCACAGGGACTGTGGCCTTCTTTGTCAAATTACCTGGATGATGATCTTCGCTTTACATCCATACCCCCGGGTACCCAAGTACCCCTTGGGGGCAAACTTCTGGAGGCTCGTCATACGGAGCTCAAAACAAAGCAAGATCTTTGCAAGGTTCGTACTTCCAATCGCATCTGGATGCGGGCGACAAACCCCAAATCTGACCGACGCTCGCTGTCGCCTGCTTCGAGCACTTTTCTGGCTTTCTGGAAGGAATGGCGTCAGCGGCCTCAGCCTTACACCGCGCTTTCTATTCCTTTGCGACTTCATGTCGAGGCCTTTGCGGATGCAAGAGCAGATGGAGAACTCATTGGCGTCGGCGGATTTATAGCTTTTCCTTCAGGAAAATGCATTTGGTTCTCTCAATCCTGGCAGCTTTCAGATCTGTCCATCCTGGGACTCGAGCTTCGCCGACCTGCGCACAAAGATATTGCCTGTTATGAAACTTTGGCGCAGATCGCTTTGGTACACTTATACAGGTCTGTCTTTCCTTCAGGTCGGGTGGCAGTGCGTCTGCTTTCCTTTTCTGACAATGCTTCGACTGAAGCTCTGGGGGCGAAACTTTACACCTCCAAATGGCCTCTCGGAGCGTTTGCCCAGAAACTTTCCCTGATATCGGCAGCGTCGGGGATCGAGCTGGATATATCTCACATTGCTGGTGAGAAGAATGATGATGCAGAGGAAATTGAGATTGAGTACTTCGGAAGTGTCTTGCGGGTTGTTGGTGAAGAAGTTCAGGAAGAGAGGAGCGAGACAGAAGAGTTCTGGATTGGTGATGAAGATGATGAATTTCAGGACTGTGACGAAGTGAGTGATGATTCATGGTGGCAGTGGCACCTAGAAGGAACCCCAGTAGGAACACAGGACCGCGGATACTACTATGAGTGTCCCAATGGATGTCATGAAACACCTTGGCACCCGAACATGCAGGAATGCGAGTATGGATGTCACCATCCTCCCAGAAGGAACAGAGTTGACAGAACAGAACCGAGAGTGAACACCGGGTTTGTGCGTGCAGCAAGGAACTCAAGAACTCGTGAGATCGAGTTTGTGCTGGATTCAGGAGCTGACATCTCGTTGGCACCGATGTGGATGAAGAAGTATGGAAGGAAAGCACCGAACACTACCAAG